GTAGCAGCTAAGACATACGGACACACGCTAAAAACACGTTTTTAAAAAGGCAACGGAAGCAAAACTGAGTTCGGTTGTACTTTATTTATCCATTTTACAATGTACTCACGCGACTGGTACCTGCTAGGGGTGTGCCTTCAGCGTCCTCTTACGCGCCTACCCATCACTCATTGGCGACTGGTACCTGCTAGGGGCGTGCCTTTAGCTTAGTGTCGTCTTACACGCCCACCCTTCACTCATTGGCGACTGGTACCTGCTAGGGACGTGCTTTTAGCGTCCTCTTACACGCCCACCCTTCACTCATTGGCCGACTTCCGCATGCCTGTCGTCACTCACGTCCACCTTTTCTCTATATAAACAGTGTGTCGGCCAGAGGTGCTCTTAGTCAGGCTTTGGAACTCGGCGCATACATAACACGCACCGCATTATAAGGCGTCCGGTCCATTTTGGAGAAAATTTAAGACTTTTAATGGCGCCTTATAGTCGTGAAAATACGGTATATATATTTTTTTCATATGTTAATTGGTCACTACTTTGCGGATTTTCGTTTATCGCGGGTGGTTTTGGTCCCCATTAACCGCGATAAACGAGGGATTACTGTATTCACCTCCAAAACGTGGCTAAACATTCAATATCCATTTTACATGAAAAATGGGAAAGCTGGGGGGCACATTAAAGGTCAACTGTGAAGTAATTCTGAAAATCACAAACGAAATATTTTTATGTCACAACTACCGTCATTTAGCAAAATCCATGAAATATAGCATGAAAATGTTATTTCTATTTCATAAATTTGACAAAGTCACCATTTTCCCGACATGAGATTCTGACAAGAGATAAACCCAACTGTGACGTCACATCAAGACAACACTAGCGGGGCTCACTATGGAAAGTGTAGAAAGCCAGTCGATTCGGAAAGCGACGTTTCAAACTTATCTGAGAAGATCGATTATGGTTGACTAGACTGATTTCAAAACTAGTAATCCATTCATTTGTTCATGATGAAACGATTAAACATTTTGGTAGAGTCACTGTCATAAACGACATAACTCCAAAGAGTTTTGACACCCCTGCACTACACCGTGAGCGCATGTTCAGAGAATCATGGCGCGCTCCCCTCTCATTGATTTCCAAATGCAGCCAATGTTCGAAAACAATCTGCAGCTCGTGCTTGAACTGCTTTTATCTCAACTGCCTGATGCACTGGCGCTCCATGTTTCCCAGTTGGAACATGTCCTTGAGCTCGTCACCCCAAAAATTCCCGTTCCCTCAACGAGGGTGCGTTAAGAAATATTCTCAGAGCACACCGTTTCACCCAAACTTTTGGGAACCTCAGAATGTTGTTCAAATATGCAGTTCACATTTAGAGTGCCGCCAAAAAACAGGGCCCAGTGCTGGCAGATCAAGGAAAATAAACATCTGTTTTCAGAAACGAATTTGAACCAAGCATAATCTACATCACATCAGCGTATGAGGACGACGAAACGATGGTGAATAACTAAGTTTAAGCTTTTTCTTTTTTTTCTTAAAACACCTTACCTTAATTCGAATACCGTGTTGCATTGTCGCCAAAGATCCATTTCTAGTGGGTTTTATGTGCTTTTGAAAGCCTTGTTGGGCAAAGCAAAGTTACTTGTCATGCCTGCTTCCATACTTCTGGCAGAAGTCCTTCTTTTGTCTTCTTTGAAAGAAGAAGCAACGGCAATCATGGAACCAAAATTTCACTTTGCAAAAGAACAACAAGGATTTGAAAAGCACATTAATCCACCAGGATTGTACAATTGGCTACCTCTGGATGCAAGTGAAGACATTTTTTTCAATAAAAACAGTTTTCAATCAATCAAAAAGTTTTAAAGTAGTTATTAGCCGGCATTTTGTCCTCCTCATCTTCTGCCAGACTGCAGAGTGTGCAATGCTCGCATTAATTTATGAATGCAGCCAAAAGTAAGCAGCTCGATATTCATTCTTGCATTTTAAAAGTTCAATTTATTAAGTGTAAGAAGCGGTCAGAAGGGTGTGAACGATGTGTTTGTGTCTGTGTCTGTGTAATGACTTAAATATAGGCGTTGAATCCTCCATAAAAAATATCTCCACTTCATATATTTCGCCTCTTGCGCTCAGTTTTTGGAAATATAAACCCCGTCATAAACGAGGGAAAACTGGATACATTGATTACACATTCTGTGAGTAGTGAGTTTTCGCTAAGTACTTCAGCTTCCTTCCACATTTCAAATTTTTCCAAAACATGCACATTAAGTGAAATGAAGACTAACTTTTCCATTGAAAAATAAGAGTTTACTCGTTGGCAAGAGCACTCACTCTTTGGATGACTTTGTTGCAAGCTTTGAAGCCGAATAAACATCTTCCAACAAAGCAGAAAGTCCATTGAAGAAAGGAAAAGTGAGGAGGGAATGGGGGGCTCCAGTTATCCCTGCCACTTGGGAGGGGGAGGGAATGGTCATTGTAATGCAAATGTCACTGCCTTGCCTGCTGTTTGTGGCAGGAAATTTAATTAGCAGTTGTGTAGCCACGATACAAACAGGTGGAATGTAAAGAATGCCCGTGATGACACACACGCAGAGAGGAGAGAAACATTCCCATTTTACAACCAGTTTCAACTTGTTGCCGCTGCGTATGTACCAATCAGTCTCAACGTTTCTTTGGCATATGACAACATGTGTTTCTTTGTATCCTAGCAACAGAAGCCCACAATGATTTGCAAAACCACTCCAATTCTGTAGACTCAACTGTTTCCACAGATTCTTAATAGACTCTCTGCATTAATTAATCTTCTTTTCTAAACTCTTCCTATGTTGAAACGGCCACAATAACATGTCCAAACAGTACTTTTAATTTCCACTTAATAAGCCCCGCGAGGCAATCTCTGCTCTGTGTATTTGGGACATGCGTTTCCGTTAATAAATGAAACAAGGCTCATCCCAGACAGCAAAATGTGCAAAAACAGACAGTTCAGATGTCAAATCAGGAGGCAAGTCCAACGTTGTATTATTAGGCCAAACAAAAAAGATAGTGTGTTTCCGGGAACATGAAATTTCAGCATAGGGTCGGTAGGTCGGACAGTTTTTTTTTTTAAATCTTTTTTTTCCCCATCAAAAATTTAAACAAAATAACCATAAAACATAAAACAAGAAGACATTGAAACCGCCGCTCCGCAGCCGGCGCCGCCGCCACCTATTTAGTTTTCTCCCCGCTCCGGGCTCGGGCGGCCGGGGCGCGCCTCCGTCCTCCTCCGCCCTCGGTTTTTACTCGGCCCGTGGTGTTCATCAAATAGTTCGCTGATTTTTATCAATACATCGGATGCTATTTTCTTAACATTACGGTGCGAGCATGCGCCTGTAACACAAAACGCGGTTTAAACTGTCGTCGGAGATCGCGGCCACCGCCATGTTTCAATGTTGTTGACAGACGACAGAGCAAACGACGCACGCGCTCAACGTGAATATCGCCAGAGTTTGCACCGATGTAAACCCTCTACACAAAAATGTAGACGGTTGTTTGAAAAAAATGCCGACCGTAAAGTTTTTTTTCGACGTAGAATTCTCGGTCGGTCGGGTTACCGGAAACACACTACTTTTTTTTCTATGCCTTACGATGGAGACACAGAGCGGCAATGACGCCGATGACGCTGACTCTACATGTGTAAGCTGAAGAGTGGACCGAGCACTTCTCCCTGGGGCTGCGGCGGGCCTCATCAAAATCAGCTAAATACAGCATCAGCAAACACACACACACACACACACACACACACACACACACACACACACACACACACACACACACACACACACACACACACACGCGCACACAGATCATGTGACCAAAAGCCGTGACAGGTCACCCGCCGTCCAAGAGACCACTGCAGCTGTCCTCTTGAGCGCTACACTTTACAACACATGCGGGTCCGAACAGCACGCGTGTTCACAAAAATGAGGAATAGTAGGCCGCAAAGAAGATGCATTATTGCCTGATCAATTGTTATGTTAGAATTTGTGATTACATCCGCAAAATACGACACAACCTTATTCGCTCCGGGGTTATTCTGTGCTGAGCCCGAAAGCTAATCTATTGTTTGCATCGTCTCGTGTCTTGTGAGTGGAAAGCCTGGACACTGGGAGGGGAAGTTCCACCTCCGCGCCCTCGCGACCATCCAATCACAAAGGAATGGCGTCCGTTTTTAACTGGTCAAAAATTCCGAAAACATTTTTTTAAAAACTCGCTCGAGTTTTTTTAATTTTAACATCTCTTCATTCAAAATAGCTTTCATTACTTAGCATAGGTATTTGAACCTCCGGCTACGCACATTCAGCCAATCACAGATGCAATCTGCAGGCAGGCGTGTTGTTTGCACGAACACGGAAATACAGAGTAAACTTTTGCTAAACGAGGATACACGAAAAACTGCGGTCAGGCTGAACGTGAGTTCGGCTATTCTCGCGACGCGATTAAATATAGAATAGCAACGTAGTTGAATGTAAAGTCAATTCAGGTTGCGTAGATCTGGGCCGAGTCTGTGCAGCCACGCTGGAGCCAAACGGCTTTGAGAATGTGCTACTTCGTCACATACACGCCAAGTAAAAAGTGGAGAAGCAATGTAAGACAAAATAATCATTGCCGTCTGTCGGCACCGGGACTTGTACAACACAGCCAGCTTCCAATAGGAGCCAAAAGGAGCAAGCCCAGGCAACAGGGCATGACAGGCAAGTAAGCGTATGGACTTGTTTACAGCTGTTGAAGATAGCAAGAGTTTGAGCAAAAGCCCCCGGCCAGCTGAATGACTGCCAATGTTAATGCTTTTTTTTTTTTGCCATTAATGTCAGAGTAGGAGATGTTGAAAATGTGTAAACATTACATGTTGTATTTTAATGTTTTCTTGGGAAAAATTTGGAGGGTTTAAAATATTTATTTCGCAAGGGCGGGGGTCACCTGTAGAGTAACTATACACATAATTTAAACGCTATATCGGGCCATCCTCTGATTAAATCATTGATCAAGTATCGTTTTTTTTTTTTTTTTTCCCAAACCTGCTGACCGCTATTTGACCCTATAAATCATTGATCAAGTATCGTTTTTTTTTTTTTTCCCCCCCAAACCTGCTGACCGCTATTTGACCCGATAAACAATGATGGCGTAAAGCCTACTATAAAGCGCAGTATTTTGAAAATAAAAACATTCTGCTTGAAAAAAGTAACAACCTTTTTACTGTATGCTCAACACAAGCGCCAAGACATACATCAACGACAGGCAGCATCCCACTTAATTTAATTATCCCATTGAAGTGCCTTTTCTTTGTGGCCTGCCTCTGCAAGCATGAAGTATGCACTTTAACCGCACGGCGAGATGAAAATAACCTGATTAAACCACGGCCATTGAAAAGAATAACATTTTACGTTCCTCTTTCTTTCCATGACTTGGGTGTATTTGTGTGTCAAGTTGCCATGTAAACATAACATTGTCACTCTAGCACTCGGGGTTGAGGTTATTGACTTTCTTTGCAGACAGCTTTTTGGGAGGGTTTTTCGACATATCAAATACTGGAAAGGTTTTCTGACATCTTCTCATTTAGTTGATGAACATTTTCAAACAGACTACATTGGAACCTCGAAAATGGAACGATTTGGAGTTTAACCAAAGCTTTCGAGGGAAAAACGTGTCACAATAGACAAGCAAAATAAACTTTAAATACAAACCAAGGTCTTCAGTACAGTGAAGGAAAAAAGTGTAATGATAACCATAAATGGAATTCACAGCCAACTTGTTTGATAAGAATACTAATCAGATTCTTCGTAAACAAAAGATAACTTTTACAACACAACAACTATTAATACTAACAATGCTATGCAAACACTTTCATTTCTCCTCACCATTACATGTCTGTTTGGGTGAGTCGTGTATTGCTTGCAAATCAGAACCACTGGGGACACAAAACAGATTGTGGTTGTTTTTGCGGTTTATTGTTGTAGCAATTCTTGTGTTTCTTAATGAAATACATCTTAACAAAGCATAAGGCATAAATAAAAGTCACTCGGTACATCAGTCTTGACATTTGAGTTTGTGGGAATACACAACTGAAAGTTTGACTAAATGATTATGCAGAGCGGGGCTTAATTAGATACACTTTCATGCTGCAAAGATTCTTCTTGATGCTTCAGTGCTAAGCAGCATTACAAATGACCGAGCACCTGACAGCTGTCTCTGAAAAGATCCTTCATTAGAATCATTGTCCCCCTGGAGACAAACAGAACAGACTCCCGGGGGGATTTCAGGTACCATACAAAAAATGTGGCTGGAAAGCAGCCACATTTTTTAAATAATAATAATAATAATACAGATTTCTTGAATAATTAGCCCTGTGAGGTGCATTTTGGTAGATTTCTGCATAAGGACCACAAAGGTGTGCGCAGAGTGTACACGTGTTCCTGGTTTCATGTGGTACAGTTTCACTTCATAGCCACATGCTTTATGTGATGTGTACATAAAATGGCTTTGTGAAAGCTTACTATAAATCCATTCCCCCTGTCTGTACTTATCATTTATGTGATTTATAGTGTGTTCCTCCGCATTTTATCACGGCTCATCATTTGTACCGCAAAGTGATCACAGATTTTTATACCATTGGTTTTTGTGGGTTTGAATTTAGTGTTGCACTCCTATGCAGTAACATATTGTGACGCAAAGAGAATATCTGAGTATTGTTGTATGCACCATTTGTGTTTGTTGTTGCGTTGCGTGTGTATGAGTGTTTCTAATTACCATCATATCTATGCTAAAATCCGCTAGCCCATCTATAGTATTTGACATTATATGTCATCTTTAAGCTAGCAGACTTTTATTAAATGAATTTTAATGTTTTGGTTGAACATTTTAGTGTTTAAATATAGTGCGCATGTTTTAATTAGCTGTTGTTGCAAGTGTCAATTTTACAGTAAACCTCAGGTATTGTGGGAGTGACAAACTGAAGCAACCTCTGACTTGAAGAACAATGTGAGGGAGTGTGAAAAGAGACACCAACGAATATTTTTACAATGGATCTTCATTTATAGGTTTAAATGTATTGAAAGCAAAACTATCAAAGCAATTAACCATCAAAAAATTGGCCTATGGTGGTGGGTCTTGATCGGATCCCCCGCGATAAACGGGGGTTCACCTTGTATTTGAATGCAGGATAGACATGCAAAGTGTAAACGCTCAGAGTAGAAACGAACCAGCAGTGGAAAGGAACACCACATCGCCACCTAGCTGAAACTTATCAACTACTGTACTTGGACTTGTTTTATGTAAAGACGGAATCAGGTTAACGTGATTGATCTTAATTCGTCATTCGAGGTCACTCGCAAAGCAAGAGTAGATAGGAGCTGTCGTCGAACTCAGCAATTTGGGTTGAAGCGTTATAAGACATGAGCTGACAACAACAACAAAGTTTGTGCTTACTTGAGCCTGAGCCTCCGGTGGCCCTAACTTTGCTGAGACGAGCCGCGCTCCGCTGCCACCTGCTTGAGTGCTAGTCCGATAACAACACTCCACAGTTCAAGTTAGTGGAACAACACATGGCTGCCGCTAAACAAACAACGTGTACTTGAAACGGCGAGCACACACGGCGATGCTATCGACATTAGCAGCAAGCTAAAAGCGAGGAGGGTTACGTTAGCCCGACCCTTAGTGCTGCCGCGCACGAAAAGCGAGCGAGAGCGCCTTCGTGTCCCCACACAACATCGCAACAAGTGGGAAAGTGGTGTTGAAAGAAGCCCAAGTTGGAACAACACTGACAGGCAAGCAGCAGATATGAAATCGACATTTTGTGAGCTGACAGTCATTTTGGGCTTTAAAGGCGTACGACTGGAAGCGTTGGCTAACTGCAACGCGGAAACAGCGTCTCAACTTCGGTTGTGGTGGGAAAATGACGCACGACCGCCATGTCATCAAGCGTTTCTTGAATAAAAGTCACTTTT